TTGCTTGCTGTTTTTTTTATTATTTTTGCACGTTCAACTGTTTTCGTTGAACCAAGGTTTTGTCTTTTTTTCATTACATCTTGTTCAATTTGTGATTTCCTTCTACATTTTGTAGAAGGAATTTTGTGTTATGATTTTTGTCTAAACTTTTTTTCTGTAGTTATCTTTTCTTTTCTTTTATAATTTATTTTTATTTTATTTTTTAAAATAAAAGGAAAAAAGTTAAAAAAAGATTTGCTTTGAAAAAGAATTGTTTTTAAAAATACTATATTTTAAGTTTAATTAATCAATTTATTTAAAAACAAAAACATGAGTGAAAATTTTAAGTCTTCTAAAAAATATTTTTGGACCCCCCCGCCCAAAAAAAAGACTCTCCTGATAAAGGTAAAGGAAAAGATGCTGACTCATTGAAAAATCAAAAGTTAAAAGAAAATATTGTGTCCTGTAATAGTTAAAATTCGGAGGAGATCATAAAAAACATCTGACCAGAGAAAACAGTCAAGAGACGAAAGTATGGTGGCCGATAAAGTCCAAACTTTAGAAGAAAACATGAGAAAGACAAAAGCAAGAACAAAGACGAAAATGTAGCGGCAGGGGAAATGCCCTGAAAGTCTCCGCCAAAAATGTAAAATCAACATAATGGAGTTCCTCGAGAAAGCCAAGAGCTACGCACATCGTGTTAAATAAGATGGGCTCTTGACAAATCCAGTGGAACTACAGAGAGTTTAAAAAAAGAATTGTCAGTCTTTGTGGTGGACAAGCATTCGCACAAAATTTGTCGCTCCACAAAAGCACTGAATGACCTACCACACGAGCTTGAGTAAATGGTTGACAGGGCAGGCATCAGGAGAGCTAACATAAAGACAAACAGTAATAAGGGCGACAAAGAACAGGAAGCTGTGGAGAACATGATAACCCATGTCATAAAGGGAGAGCATATAGAAGAAGATTCATACGAATGGTTTACCGAATATAAAATAGAATCAGAAAAAGATAATTGAAATATCCACGGCACATAATGAGGAAAGAGGGCTTAGAAAATTTAACGTTCAGGAGGAACAACGGAAAACAGAAGAACCAACCTATTTGCTAGATAAAGGATTAGTATGAAAAGTAAAAAGACAAAACCGCTAAGAGCAACAAGAAGTAGGATGTTGTGGAGGGCCATGGTTGCCCGCATCCTGAAGGGGCGATGCACATCGAAGAAGAATCTTTTCTGTCTTATTTTTGTTGCTTGTTGTTTTTGACGATCCTTTCGTATAAATGAATGTGCCAACGCCCATACACACACACACCGGGCTCTATCTTTCTATTCCCGATGGCATCCAATTTCAGCTTGGTATCGATACTGATGACACAACAATTTACTCATGTTTCGATAGTAAATCTGATCATGTCGATAATGTCAAATTGGCGGCCAATGTCGAAAACGACTTTCAGTTTGTTATCAACTGCGGCAAACAATGGATTGTTAATTATGACGCTCCAAAAGTAAACTGCTCTCTGTTAATCCTCTGATAGAACCCTTTCTGCTTACCATCAGCATGAATGATGTTAATCTCCAGGAGAATAACTTGTTGCCCTTTTTGAGGTTGATGTTCTGGTTAACATGAAATAGAAAGACTATATTGAATCCATTGTTCACTGTATTGTGCTGGAGAATTTTTCATTCCAGAATCTATCTTACATATCTGTAAGTATACCATTCGTTCATGTTTAGCATATTGCTGCCACATATAGTCCTTTGATCCTGATATCTGGAGAACCTTGATAAAATTCAAAGAAAAATCAGCAATATTACTGATCCTAACCTGGCATCTCGTCTTCAATCATTTTTCCCACCGCCGTAAAGTTGCCTCTTTATGTCTTTCCTATGAATATGTTCATTGCATGGATGAGCTCTTTGTTATGGTACCTAGATTTTATGAATTTTGGCGCATTTCTAAACTGACAACGAGGTCTCAACGATACAGTTATAGATATAACTTTAAGCTCTATGCTGTTTCTTTTCTTGCACTTCCGGTTTGTCGAAGCTCCTTCCGGTTTCATGCTTTCCAGTCAACTTTAATCTTCAAAAATTTAAATTCAATGTCAATCGCTGTCTACTGTCCTCCTGATCTCTCTTTCCTCTTTCCGCTCATTATTAATGTTTCTGTTTCTAATTCTTCCACACACAGTAACCCCTTGTGTCTTAGTGGCTTCATTGCCTTGCTTGTTGTGAACTCGATTTAAAAAAAAATGATCTCCCTAAGCAGACAATTGCTGTTTGTTTCTGTTTTTTTTTTTTCTTTTTGCAAAGAAGCCGCTTTGAAAATTATAACATATGAGTCAAAATAAATGTGGTTCTACAGAAGAATGATGAGAATACCACTGCAAGGCTTCTATTACTTGAATAGGAATGTCTTAATGTGATATCAGTTTCAATTCCATTCTGATAAAAAAGAAACGTTTTCCTGCATGACAATGTTGCACTAAAGGATTGTTTCAAATTATAATTATGTTATAATACTGTAACAATGGTTGGCCTATGCCATACTGGTATTGCTAAATTATTATTCCTTCTGAAAGTATTTTGCTTGATAATTTAACATCCATCATTGAGTTTCCAGCTGCATTATACTGTGAAAATATATGTTAAAACTATTCAATTTATTTCAATGATATCATATTAATAATTTGAATATATGGAAGGTTTTGTCGTTTTTTTTTCTGTTGCTTGTGTATCTATCTATCGATCTCTTATTGAGTTTGATTTAAATAATATTGTATAATGTGAGTAATAATAATTATTACCATAACGGCATTCCAAAAATAAATTAAGATATGTGGAATAAATTAATAAAATTGATATTTTCACCTCATCATTTTGTATCATGTACTGCGATTAAAAGGGTACCAAACAAGTTTTTGTTTTTGTCTTATATATATATATATATATATATATATAGACACACACACTACAGTTCAAAAATTAGAAGCCCCCCACCCCAATAGTGCTTTCTAAGAGAATATTTTAAACAGTTTTTATATCACTTATGGTGTTGCATGGCAAACGCTTGCTTCTCAAAGTGTATATATATATATATATATATATATATATATATATATATACACACACACATATATATATATATATAAATATATATATATGTGTGTGTGTGTGTATATGTATATATATATATATATTTAAAAATTCGAACCAACATCCAGAATTAGCATGGGATGAACTTGACAGAAGAATGAAAAAACAATGAAAAAGAGCTCTTAGAGTCACTGAGAAAAGAATAGAATCAATTATCAAAATTATACTTTGAAAAAAGTTTTTGCAACGAATGCTAAAAATTGGGCTGCAGTAATCAAGTATAAAGGCGGAAATTCTGACGTGTGCAAAATTTAACCATAACATCCTTTTTTTTTTCTTTTCGTCATAATAAAATTTCTAATAAAAATCATGTCTTACTTTTTAACCATGTATAATAATTTTATTCTTATTTAAAAAGTATAAAACAACTACTTTTTTGGAACAATTTAAAAAAAAAATACCAGGGACAGCCTCAAAATCTTGAACTGTATATATATATATATATATATATATATATATATATATATATATATATATATATATATACTGATGACCAAACTATTAAGGTCAATGGAAATAAAGAAGAAAAATATACTTTTTGCGCTGTTAAACTTAACCGTTTATTCGAGAAGAGCTTCATAAAATGAAAATATGAAAAAGAAAGACTAAAAACATTTTTAGCATTTAATTGGAAAAAATTGAATACTGGGAAATATTAGCTGGTTTAAGACCATATATAAAAGAAGTCCTAAACAGAGTAACAAGGTGTCTCAGTAGTGAGTTGCACGTCGTCATTGGGAAAAACTTCAAAAATTGTATTTGGCATCGATATAAAAATCTGCAGAAGGCTCACTGGAATTTAAAGTAGTGAAAACGGGTTCACGGAAAATCATACACTGTTTGGAATTGGCGTCTGTAAACTTTCCTTGTCTTGCCAACCATCCCCAAACGTTTTCAATAGCGTTCAGGTCGGGTGAACACGATGGAGGGTATTAAGGAATCTTGTTATTCGCCATAAATGGCATTTAAATGGCTGGCCATTAGAAATGAGAACAGATACTACACTTTGATCAGAGCCAGATGGATGGGGGTTGAAGTAAAGCGTCAATGAATGCCGAATGTTTCCTTAGAATGAAATGGCTAATATTACCTCAAGAGAAAGACACGGTGACCTACCGCGGGAAAACCTTCAACCTAGTCAATCATCAATTGAAGAGACATGTTTGCCCAAGCGTATATCACGTATGGCATTTAACTGACTGATTGAATTTCCTTTCTGAGATTGCCATCAATAATGTGTCACCTGCCTATCTTATGTTGTTAAAGTTTTGACCACCGCTAAGGAGCATTAAAAACCAAATTAGCCGTGTTGTATCGATTTTCTAAAACAAAAACTATTTATAAACAAAGTATTTTTTTACGTTGTCTTCTCTTCTAGGTATGTTTTGATGTTGTTTATCGGCATATCAATCGCTATGGCTTATTTAATGCCGAAATCTAAATATTCTAAACACAATCTTATGACTTCACTTTGCGATAAATAAGTATTGTTTGTAATTTTACTATAAATAGCTATTGTTGGTAATTTTACGATAAATAGGTATTGTTGATAATTTTACTATAAATAGGTATTGTTGGTAATTTTACTATAAATTGGTCTTGTTGGTAATTTTTTTTATATAAAAATGTATTGTTGCTATTTTTATAATGTCATAGTATGTTTGAGGGTTCACTATTTGTTCATAGCTATACCTGGGAACAAAAGCAATTAAGAGGTGGTTCCACGCTCCTTAAAACATCCAATCTCCCGACAAAAAGGCCTTCCTGTCGGATGTATTTGATCGTCATACCCTGGACTATCTCTTTTCGGGAATTAATTTCTTCAGAACCAATTATTCGAAAATATTGCCTGAATTTCATGGTGCTATTTTCTTGTCTTTTACAGTGTCTTGGGAACCATGAATTCGACAAAGGCATCCAAGGTTTGGTGCCGTTTCTTCAGAATGTCACTTTCCCAGTCTTAGCTGCAAATATCAATATTACTGGTATACCCGAACTGGCATCCGTAAAGAAACGGATCAAATTAAAACTTGGAGGGGAATGGATCGGCATTGTCGGGTATATCACTGTTGAAACGCCAATGTTGTCTAATCCGGGTAAGTAAATAGCTTTCTATTTTTTTGCGAAAATTGTTTACATATTTTAAATAGTGGTTTTGATTTTTGATTTTTAATTTATTCCTTTCTCTAAATCAGCAAATGTTTTAAAGAACAATTCACTTAAGCATGTTTTATTCTGGTACTTGCGAAATTATCGAACTGACCGTCAAGCTTTACTCATCAATGCGCCATGAAAGACTCAAGGCTATTACTAATGAGTTCCGAAAGGAACAAAACCACTGATGACATTCGTAAAGATTGATTATTAACAATGCCCCCAAATTGGATGGGGTAATAGAATTTTGTTTGCTATAGCCCAGCATATAAGCTAGTATATATCAGGTCATCCCATAAGTTCTGTCCGAATTTTAACTTTTTGTTAAAATGAACGAAATTTAAAGAGTATTTTATAATGTTTAATGGAGCTAAACATGTTTAGATGCATTTAAACTGATAAAATTTTATTTCAGAGAACAATAAAATTAAATTTTGTTTGGCTAACATGGAAGTACCCAAGAATCATTTGAGGCACATAATGCTTTATGAGTTCAAGAAAGGAAACCCAGCAGCCGAAGCGGCTAGAAACATTCACTTAGTTTATGGAAAGGAATTTGTGAATGAAAGAACTTGCAGAAGATGGTTTGCAAAATTCAGAGGTGGAGATTTCACCCTTGAAGATCGAACCGGACGTCCAGTTGAGTTTAATAAAAAGCTTCTTAAAGCAGCCCTTGAAGAAAATCCTGCTTTATCAGTTGAGCAATTGGCAGTAGTTCTCAGTTCAAACCATACAACTGTTCATCGTCATCTTCAACAAATTGGAAAAGTTCCTAATTTTGGAAAATGGGTGTCTCATGAATTGTCTGAAAACAACCTCAAATCCCGAGTTGACATCTACTCTTCTCTCGATTCTCGCCAAATTGTTTCACCTTTTTTGAATAGACTTGTGACTGGCGACGAAAAATGGATCTTTTATCGAAATGTTAAGCGTCGTAGACAGTGGCTTGATAAAGGGGAAGGACCCCAGCCACAGCCAAGAAGGGAACTTCATGGGCAAAAGGTTCTTCTTTCAATCTGGTGGGATCGCCAAGGAATAATCCACTTTGAATTCTTACCACCTAATTCAACAATTAATGCTCAAATATTCTGTCAGCAATTAGAGCGTTTGAACTAAGCTTTAAGGAAAAAAAGACCTGCTCTAGAGAATCGAAAAGGGGTGATGTTTCAACAGGACAATGCGCGACCCCACACAGCAAGAATCACGTCACAAAAGATCGAAGAACTTGGTTGGGAGAAAATTCCTCATCCACCTTATTCTCCCGATCTTGCTCCTTCAGACTACCATTTGTTTCATAGCTTACAGAATCATTTGGAAGAAACAGCTTTTGTAACACAGGAAGAGGTTAAAACTGACATTTGTGAATTCTTCGAATCAAAGCCAAAAGAATTTTACAGTAATGGAATTAGTAAGCTTGTTAATAGATGGAAGGAAGTCATAGATAATCAGGTAAAATACATTGTTGATTGAATCTGTAATTAAATGTAACATTTGGTCACTTGTTTTCTTTATTCAAAATTCGGACAGAACTTATGGGATGACCTGATAGCTCTAACAGCCAATGATACTCTATTTACGCTTGTTGCCATTCCCTGATCGTCGGGCTGGGATCAAAGAGTATTATCTGTTCTCCTCACCTCTAATGGTAATGGTAATATTATTCGTTTCTTTATGAGAAAACATTTGGCATTCATCGACCAAACAGCCAATGATACTCTATTTACGCTAGTCGCCACTCCCTGATCATCAGGCTGGGATCAAATTGTAGTAATTGTTTTAAAGTACAATTCACTTAAGCATGTTTTATTCTGGTACTTGCGAAATTATCGAACTGGCTGGCAAGCTTTATCATCCAAGCACCATAATAGACTCAAGCCCATTACTAATGAGTTCCGAAAGAAACGAAACCATTGATGACATACGTCAAGATTGATTATTAGCAATGCTCCGAAATTGGATGGCGTAATAGCATTTTGTTTGCTATAGCCTAGTATTATGGTACCTATGGTCGTCATAAATTTGAACTCTAGTCTCCGATTCCACATCAGGTGCCAATATCTGTTACACTACCGTCGCATACGCTGAAGAAGGTAGGGTTTATTTTTAGTATTGTTCAGTCAATACAAGACTAAAAAAACCCACTATGTAGCTGGTTGAATGAGACCAAGAGGGTCATATTATGCGTGAAATACAGGATAGATAACTCTTGACCCTCGACTTGAAGAGTTTAAGATTGTAGTGACTGGGAACCGTTATCACGGGAGTCGTTCTACTATACAACAGTTCTGGAGAAAGAGCTGTCTCAGTGGAACTTCTCCCATCTCAATGTAATTAGAAGGGAAAGATAATGAGTCGACTTAGTGTCGGTGACCTAGGTAAGGGGGCCTAGTTATGTTCTAGACTGGTTGAACCAGGGAATGTAGTTCACTCGAACATTGTCTAGAGAGTAGCAAGGGGATAGCATAGTTTCATTTCTTATCCCCCCCAGCTATGGCTTAAATTGTAGGATTTGTATCTGGAAAAGTCATTGTCATCTTAAAAAAATGTTAATGCAAAATTCACTCACAAAAAAAGAGTTATTCTTACAATCAAAAATAACGTTTTGGCCTTAATCGATCCACCCCAAGCAAGGCGATAATGCCACTAAAACACAAAGGATTACTGGGAGCGAAAGAAGATAAGAAAACTCTCGAAGGAACTGGAAACCCAATCTTAAACAGGAAACAAATGATAAACCTCTATATCTGTTCAAAAGATGGCGGAGTAGTGTGAATCAGACGATAGATATATCTATATACTCCGATTATCAAAATACAAGGAAGGCGTGTGAACCGGACGGTACGCAATCCTACCTCCTCCTATTATAAACCTCTAATCCTGTTCAGAAGAGGGGGTGTGATCCGGGCGATAGGCAAACCTATCTGCTCCTATTATAAACCTCTAATTATGCCCAGAAGACAGGAGAGGAGTGTGATCCAGACGTTAGTCAAATCTATCTGCTCATATTATAAAACTCTAATCCTGTTCAGGAGAGGAGGAATGTGATTCGGACGATAGTAAAACCTATCTGTTCCTATTATAAACCGCTAATCCTATTCAGAATAGCGAGGAGGAGTGTGATCCGGACGGTAGTCAAATGTATCTGCTCCTATTATAGACCTTTAATCCTTTTCAGAAGATAGAGTAGGAGTGTGATCCGGACGTTAGTAAAACCTATCTGCTCCTATTATAAACCGCTAATCCTGTTCAGAGTAGTGGGGAGGAGTGTGATCCTGACAGGAGTCAAATCTATCTGCTCCTATTATAAACCTCTAATCTTGTTCAGAAGATAGGGAGGAGTGTGATCGTGACGATAGTAAAACCTATCTGCTACTATAATAAACCGCTAATCCTGTTTATAAGATAGAGGAGGAGTGTGATCCGGACGATAGTAAAACCTATCTGCTCCTATTATAAACCGCTAATCCTGTTCAGAGTAGTGGGGAGGAGTGTGATCCTGACAGGAGTCAAATCTATCTGCTCCTATTATAAACCTCTAATCTTGTTCAGAAGATAGAGGAGGAGTGTGATCGTGACGATAGTAAAACCTATCTGCTACTATAATAAACCGCTAATCCTGTTTATAAGATAGAGGAGGAGTGTGATCCGGACGATAGTAAAACCTATCTGCTCCTATTATAAACCGCTAATCCTGTTCAGAGTAGTGGGGAGGAGTGTGATCTGACAGGAGTCAAATCTATCTGCTCTATTATAAACCTCTAATCTTGTTCAGAAGATAGAGGAGGAGGTGACCGTGACGATAGTAAAACCTATCTGCTACTATAATAAACCGCTAATCCTGTTTATAAGATAGAGGAGGAGTGTGATCCGGACGATAGTAAAACCCATCTGCTCCTATTATAAACCGCTAATCCTGTTCAGAGTAGTGGGGAGGAGTGTGATCCTGACAGGAGTCAAATCTATCTGCTCCTATTATAAACCTCTAATCTTGTTCAGAAGATAGAGGAGGAGTGTGATCGTGACGATAGTAAAAACCTATCTGCTACTATAATAAACCGCTAATCCTGTTTATAAGATAGAGGAGGAGTGTGATCCGGACGATAGTAAAAACCTATCTGCTCCTATTATAAACCGCTAATCCTGTTCAGAGTAGTGGGAGGAGGTGTGATCCTGACAGGAGTCAAATCTATCTGCTCCTATTATAAACCTCTAATCTTGTTCAGAAGATAGAGGAGGAGTGTGATCGTGACGATAGTAAAACCTATCTGCTACTATAATAAACCGCTAATCCTGTTTATAAGATAGAGGAGGAGTGATCCGGACGATAGTAAAACCTATCTGCTCCTATTATAAACCGCTAATCCTGTTCAGAGTAGTGGGAGGAGTGTGATCCTGACAGGAGTCAAATCTATCTGCTCTATTATAAACCTCTAATCTTGTTCAGAAGATAGAGGAGGAGGTGATCGTGACGATAGTAAAACCTATCTGCTACTATAATAAACCGCTAATCCTGTTTATAAGATAGAGGAGGAGTGTGATCCGGACGATAGTAAAACCTATCTGCTCCTATTATAAACCGCTAATCCTGTTCAGAGTAGTGGGGAGGTGTGATCTGACAGGAGTCAAATCTATCTGCTCCTATTATAAACCTCTAATCTTGTTCAGAAGATAGAGGAGGAGGCGGATCGTGACGATAGTAAAACCTATCTGCTACTATAATAAACCGCTAATCCTGTTTATAAGATAGAGGAGGAGTGTGATCCGGACGATAGTAAAACCTATCTGCTCTATTATAAACCGCTAATCCTGTTCAGAGTAGTGGGGAGGAGTGTGATCCTGACAGGAGTCAAATCTATCTGCTCCTATATTATAAACCTCTAATCTTGTTCAGAAGATAGAGGAGGAGTGTGATCGTGACGATAGTAAAACCTATCTGCTACTATAATAAACCGCTAATCCTGTTTATAAGATAGAGGAGGAGGTGATCCGGACGATAGTAAAACCTATCTGCTCCTATTATAAACCGCTAATCCTGTTCAGAGTAGTGGGGAGGAGTGTGATCTGACAGGAGTCAAATCTATCTGCTCCTATTATAAACCTCTAATCTTGTTCAGAAGATAGAGGAGGAGTGTGATCGTGACGATAGTAAAACCTATCTGCTACTATAATAAACCGCTAATCCTGTTTATAAGATAGAGGAGGAGTGTGATCCGGACGATAGTAAAACCTATCTGCTCCTATTATAAACCGCTAATCCTGTTCAGAATAGTGAGGAGGAGTGTGATCCTGACAGGAGTCAAATCTATCTGCTCCTATTATAGACCCCTAATCCTGTTTATAAGATAGAGGAGGAGTGTGATCCGGACGGTAGGCAAACCTATTTATTCCTTTATAAATATCGATCCCAATTGTTATCTGTATATTTTTTATTAGTTGACTCGACGCCTTAATTCTTAAATAATATCACGTTATTATCAGACGAATAGATTTTTTTTCCGTTTCTTCGTATACATAACACATGATTATGAAATAGTTTTATGGTAGCTGATATCTACAACAAAAGTGCTTTTGTCGTTCACCAGAGGCACATGCTTGTGGAAGATCACGTCATATAAAGCACGCTCGTGTTTTAAATTTAGATTCGCCTCGATTAGACCGTTTTATTAAGACGTCGATAAAGAGACCTGTTACCTTCTTGAATAGACAAATATAATATCTACATTCACTTGCAAGTACAGCCCAGGGCTAAAATGTTTAACTCCATCCCCAATGTCGACTTATACACACTACCTCGAATTATGAAATGCGTGTCAATGTTCCCAGCACTCGAAAACTTAAAAACTTGACACAGAATCATCGTCTATGTTGCCAGTCACGTAATCCACCATAGTCGTTGGGAGAGTACATATACTGCATCCATGACAGTAGAGATGTGTCTAGGGTAAGTTGGTAATGGTAATAATAGCCGTTACCCTACAAGGAAACATTTGGCATTAATCAACCGAGCAGTCAGTGATACTTGATTTACGCTAATCTCCGCTGCCTGATCATTGGGCTGGGATCAAACGGTAGTATCTGTTCACCTCATTTCTAATGGTAATGTTATCTGTTTCTTTATAAGGAAACATTTGGCATTCATCGAGCGAACAGCCAATGATAACCGATTTACGCTTTTCTCCACTCCCTAATTATTGGGCTGGGATCAAAGTGCAGTATCTGTTCTCCTCATCTCTAATGTTAATGGCAATACTGTCCGTTTCTTTATTATAAGAAAACATTTGATATTCAACAACCGAACAGCCAGTGATACTCGATTTACGCTTGTCTCCACTTCCTGATCATCGGGCTGGGATCAAAGGGTAGTATCTGTTTTCCTTATTCAAATGGTAATGATAATATTATCCGTTACCCTACAAGGAAACATTTAGCATTTACTGACCGAATAGTACTACTTTCGGTTGAAATTTATAAAATCTCTCTCTTAAAACAAATTTTCAAGAAAACAGGTTCCTAATCTTCAGTAGCTGTTATCGTTATTTCCAATATTGATCAGGCTTTCCTTTTTATTTGAAGTCGTGTCAAATGACATCTTGATTAGGTCATGATTTGTGCTATCCATTTTAGCTTTTGCTGCTGTTGGTAGTCCTCGAGGGATGTGGTTTCTGTAAATGTAGTACAGTTCTTTGTGATTCTGTAGCGCCAGTCTACAATGTTCAAAGAAGGATGATCTTTGCCAAGACACTCTGGCTTCACTCGCTCAAAGCCTTTTTCACAATTGATCTCAGGAAGCGGTTGTATACAACTGACAGTTTAGATATTTCTGAACGTGTTTGGTGCCATTCATGATATCCATACAAAAGTCTCGATCTGACGAGGATATTTAAGAACATGACTTGAGTTTTTAGGTTGAAGTTTTAGTTTAGTAGCAACGTGCGGTATTCGGCGAAACTACCTCAGGCACAGCCTATTTTATGTTTATCTTATTTTTCTTCAATGCTTCATTTTTTTATAATTGATCCATACGCCGATGATTTTTTATTTATTTACTAATTGCACATACTGAATTTTTATGATTCACTCAGGGGACATAACCTGACGGAACCCATCTCTTTTCAGGCCGGTTTTGAATTTTCCTTCTAGTTTAGTAGCCGCCTCAGTTAACCTATTTAACTCGTAGCTGAGTAGAGAAGAAGATATAAATTCATATTTTTCGAAAATATTTGTGCGAAAATAAACGTGTTCGAAATTCGAACTCGAGCCGCCAATTTCGCTTTCTGAGCAGATAACCATTACGTTACCCGCACACCATAGGAGAGAATAGGGCGCTGAACTTTGTTTTTTAAATAAAAAGAAACGTAAAAACAAAACTTTATTTACAGTCGGACGGATATCCTCATCTTTGTTGTTAATATAATGTAACGAATGAAGCTAAGTAATAAAGATATAAATATATACTAAATATATATTTGTTTCTGGCGAAATAGAAGGGATAGAGTTTATTAAACAAAGGTATGACTCTAATATATAAATAAATTGGGTGGTTACTTGTTATACTAGGGCGGCTAGCCAATCCCCGTAGCAGGTGCCTTCTCGGTTAATGTAATAGATTAGTTTATACTGAACAGTGTGAACTTGGCCAGCACGCTGAAACTCTCGGTCACGATGACTTGCGACTTCGTTCTAGCACAACCATTGTCGACCTCCGAACAGTTCGGTTCATTCAATTTCACTTATAAAGCCTGGTATGGTTTTCAGACACTTCGCAAAGGATCACCTTTCAGACTGATAACATTTATTCCGAAAAATCGACCATGGTGGGATTTGAACACGGGGCGCATGGTTTAAAAAAACAAAAAGGCCAGTGTTCTAATCAGGGGTAAAATGTTTAACTCCATCCCCGGTGTCAACTTATACACATTACCTAGAATTATGAAATGCGTGCCAATATTCCCAGCACTCGAAAACTTAAAAACTTGACACAGAATCATCACGTCTATTTTGCGAGTCACGTAAAAAATAATGATGAGTCCCAAATATAGGACGAAACGGCCATCCAGTGTTTTCTGCATTCTGTTGAGGTTTCATCTAGACTCGAGGAATTACTTAATTATCTCAAATCCTCCTTAATTTCTATCATATATATATATATATATATGTATCGAGTCTTTCTCTCCTTACTCTCCTATGCGCTCATTAGTCTAATATATACAGCAAATAGTAAATGCTAAAAGATTATAAACAATTCATTGACATTCTTTTTAGTACCGAAATGCACAGAAAATTATTTTCTCGTCATAAAGATTTGATATTTTTTCAATTTTGACATTCAGTTATCTCATATAAGAATGTGCAGGTAGTATAATATATAGTGCCTCGTATTTGAGAAATGGGAGGGTCAAGATCAAATCCTGTTAGATTTCGTTACATAAGACGCTCAAATACCCTTGGGAAATGTAATAATCTATCTCCCTCCCCGCCACTAGCTACGGATTAATAACTCGGAAGCCTGGGCTCTTTAGCCTTGGTTGGCAACCAGCCTAAGAGAAGGACAACACTAAATTCAAAACGAACTAGGCATGGAGCTAGGATATAAATCCTGTAAAAATCAACTCTCTACGCTAACCATAGCTGCATCGCCCACGGTTGTTCAGAGCTGTGGACCCATATTTCCCAGTGGAGTCAACGAGTGAATGAACGTGTGAGTTTTAATATCAATGTCTATTTTGTATATTATACTCCGCCATTTTATTTAAAAAAAATTTTTTTGGCTGATATTGTTACTCTTGTTATTTGCAGAACCCGTGACCTTCATGGACGAAGTGGAAAGCGTGCAACGGGAAGTAAATGAATTGCTTAAGGAAAACGTTACCAAAATTATTGCCCTGGGCCATGCTGGTTACTGGGTGGACAAGAAAGTTGCCAAGGAAGTCAAAGGCCTCGATATTGTGGTCGGTGGTCATACCAACACTTTTCTATATACAGGTTAATGTTCTGTGTCATTATAGATTATATATTAATATAAATCTCTCTTTCTCTCTCTATATATATATATCTCTATTTGTCTCTCTTTCCTTCTCTCGCTCTTTCTCTTCTTTTCTTTTTTCTCTCTTTTCTCCTTTTATCTCTCTATTTCTCTCCCACACCTTCTCTCTCTCTCTTTATATATATATATATATATATATAGTTAAACCTAGAGAGCCAGACAAACCTACCAAGTTTCACCTAAACGGATCATCAAGGAAGGCCGGCCTTCCCTGACGATCCGCTTAGTGAAAATTTGCAGATTTGTCTGGCTCTCTAGGTTTAACTAGGTCTGCTCTACTTACTGTATTGAGCACTTTTTTTTAGTTATTTTGCTTACTCGTATTGTTTTGTTTTTTTTCTTTGAACTTTGGACTTGTATGCTAGACGATTATTTTCGGCTGACGTACATGTTCTTTGTTCTTTCTTTTTTTTATACTTTTTTTTTCCTTTTGGTATTGGTTTGATTATTCGCAAATCAAGACACCGAAGTTTTCGGATGAGTATAATTTCTTATACTTATAAAGATTATTACTACTACTACTAATATATATATATATATATATATATATATATATATATATATATATATATATATATATACTATTGTTAAATGTAACAGACAACGAATGTCTGTTATGTTTTATTATGAGCCGTTTCAAGTGGCTTAAGTTTCAAGAGAAAATAGATAAAAACTGCGCAATATTTGTATATTTCTTCATTATACTGCTCGTCGATATAAACTTTCGGCTCCCATGAGCCATCAACATAGTTGTTATCTGGACCTAACAAAAGATGTGCATCGACAATGATGACATCCTGTTTTGTTGACATAGAAATTTGCTATGCGACGATAACGGTCGCGGAAATGCAGTCGGAGGTTGTAAATTCGTACATGACCACGTGAGAGAAAGAAATGTTATCAACAGAACCAGATGTTCAAATGCATTGTTATATGTTGTGACTGGTTTGAAATGTAGTTTTGTTGAGTGTGGGTTGGTTTGTTTTAATGTAGATGGCCTCCAATATCTTAAGGTTCTTTTTACTGTGTGTATGTGTGAGTATTGTTATGTTATCAACTAATATCTAATAAATAGTATGTACATGGCTATGTTTTTTTAAGAAATGTTGTTTAATGGAACTAAGACCAGAAAGGTGACAGGTAAGTATACAGGAGAGTGTGGTTGTAGTAAAACCAATGTATGTAGTGGGTTCATTATTAGTGCCAGGGATGCAATCACTGAATTGTCATGTCAACTGATACACTACATTGGTATATATATATATATATATATATATATATATATATATATATATATAGATACGACGGAGAGTTAAGTTTCATACTACCGCGGCACAAAGGCAACCAAATGGCTTCTGGTTCGTGTTTTGGTCGCCTAAAAGATCGCAATTATGTGAAACTTAAGTAGCCGTTAGAATTTTCTCACTTTCTCTGAGTTACGACGCCTGAATATTCGAGAAATAGTGCGCCCTAGATATGTAAATAAATAAATATGCCGTTTAATATATAAATAAAAGCAGATTATCTACTCAAATATGAGTATCAATTTAAAAATAATGTTTAAAAAATAAATAAAAATACATCGAATTTAATCCATTTCCATATATATATATATACAGTGTAACCCGGATATAAGAAACCCCGGATATAAGAGATTTTCTGGTCCCAAATTAGAGCCTGTGTTAATGTAAACAAAATAGACCAAACCCGGATATAAGAGAAACCCGGATTTAAGAGACTTCTTCTCCGGTCCCGACAACTCTCTTATATCCGGGTTACACTGTATATATATATATATATATATATATATATATATATATATATATACACAGTGGCGGGATTCAACTGGTTCACACAAGTTCGCGCGAACCTGTACTTGGAATTTTATAAGCGCAGCAAACCCGTTGCTAGCAGCAACCCGGACAAACAAACTGCTAATTTTAGATTGTTTACACATTGTAGTCACATAATCGGTTGGGGATGTAAATTTAGGTGATCGAATAAAGGTTAATATAATTTTGAACTGCTGAAATAGTTATTCCTTGGAAAGATGCTGAAGGCTTCAATAAAAAAATTTTCATCACAACATTCCCATTAATACTTTTCGTGTTTATGTGGAAAATGTCCTGAAAAACTTTCATAATCCTGTAATACTTCAACGTGTCCAAAAAGTGAAAACTATTATCAATATGATTGTTATCAGTTCTTCCGAGTCAGAAAGAGGTTTTTCAAGAATGAATGTTATATACACAGGTAAAGGAAGTCACCTTAGAATGGAAAATGTATCGAACTTGATGACAATTAATTTTATTAGACTCCCTTTAGATTTATAGGATGTCACCCCTTTCGTTAAAACATGGTTTAGAAAAAAATCAGTGTGAATGACAACAGAATAAGGCAAAAAGTCGAATGCTATGATGACAATCAAGTAGTTATTAGTAAATTTTTAAAATGAAAGATCATGAATAAAAGATTTTAAAGCATTTCTTTTAATTATTTTCTTTTCAAAATAACGTACAATAATGCAGATTAATTTTGCTATTTTTGAATGAATGCAAGAAAATTTTGCTTTATTCCTAAATTATATCTACATAGTAAAGTATGGACTATGTAACAAAGAGGGAATCTGTTGCTATTGAGAGCTGTTGTTGAGAGAACCCTCTCTTGAAATCTTTAAATCCCACCACTATATATATATATATATATATTTTAAGTAATTCATCGAGTCTAGAAGAAACCTCAACGGAATGCAGAAAGCACTGGACGGCCGTTTCGTTCAATATTTGGGACTCATCAGCAGTGCGTATCCACTACCGAGAATGGAAACCCGGGCAGTTACATTGACAGGCAAACGTCACATCAACTGTACTAACAGGCCTCGGTGGTAGCGAACTAGACTCGATATTGCCTCGTTCATTCACAAATTCCGTGGCGGAACTCATCCAAGTTTCCTTTACCCAAAGGACTGTGCCAACTACTATCCCAAAGCCGCTCCCGCTCCATCCAGAAATCTCAAATCCACCTTAATTTCTATCATTTGTATATCGTTGCTTGAACCGGCTTCTAATGCTCTGGTTTTCCTGTCAATGTAGCTGTCCGGGTTTCAATTCTCGGTAGTGGATGCGCATTGCTGATGAGTTTCAAATATAGGAAGAAACAGCCGTCCAGTGCTTTCTGCATTCTGTTGAGGTTTCTTCTAGACTCGGTGAATTACAAATCCTCCTTAATTTCTATTATATATATATATATATATATATATATATATATATATATATATATATATAAAATTAACAATTTCAACGATAACTTCATTCTCAGAGAATTTTTTGAAAATGAATTAATTCGCTCTGGATTCATTTATCTGCACTCTTAAAAGCTCCTTTATCAAGTTACCATATTTATGTAGAACCACAACAACTTAAAAAAGAAAAATGGCTAACTCAGGGTTTAATTTCTAATCAATTAATAATAATGAAAAAAAAACACAACAGCTTTAATTCATTTTCGTCTAACAAAATGTCATAGTTTTCATATCTTTTTCTGCACGATTTTCGAATATTGTTAATGTTCTCTTATTCAATTTTGAACTCATAATATTATCTTTCTCAATGATACTTTTTGTTCTTTGTGTATGAAAATAGATTTCTCAATAAATGTCTACATTTAACTTTGATAAATTTCCTCAAAGGACGAAACACTTCGGCATAAGAGGTTTTCCTCTTGTAATTACTTTTAGCAGTAAAGGTTAACATTCTGCATTATTATAAAATATATTATTATACATTAGTTGTGCTGAGTTGTATTACCTTATTTGATCAATTGTACTTAAATAACTATATATAAATTTTAAAAAAAACAACATCGAGTTAATGTTTTATAGCGACCATAACATTTGACCTGAATTCTTTTGATTACTTTCAAGAGAGGCAATTTAAATAGCCATTAAAAGTTTTAATCTAATATCGAAAACTATACAAATATGTAATTAGATTTAAACTAGACTCATCCGTCAAAAACAGGGTAACAATAATTAAGTGACTATTATTGTGTATGAGTGTTATATAGGGCATAAATAGATGGAATCGTCCGTTTATATAAATAAGCGGAGGTGAGGAGAGTTAGCATTAGGTGATTTGATGGTGTATCTTGGTATAGTAAACCTTCTATTTCATTATTTACCTATGAGTTCGTCTTTCTTATTTATTTCCCTCTGTTGAGATACAACAATGAACAAACTAAAAACTTCACTTGACACAAAGTAACGATTTCTACGGAAGGACTCCTGATTTTGGTGCTGAAAGCGGTTATCGTTATCCGTTTTCTTTTGACATGCAAAACCCATTTTTCATCACCTGCAACAATACATTCCAAATGCAGATGGTGGAAGCCAAATTCACTCTTTGTGAGTTTTCACAAACGCTGAAAACGATATACTGTCTCATAGCGGAGAAGATAACGTAATTAATAATACACAATTACTTCGCGAGTAATATAAGTCTATATGCAGTTTTCTGCCGTTTCTATCTAACTTGGATCTGCCTTGGTTGGTCGATTCATAATAGTGGCGCGGCACTTCGACGGAGTGTAAGGGTTAGCAAGCTTGATTTGCTAGATCAATTACGACTGAGTAGTGAGTTCTATCCTCATGGGTGTAGGGCGACACAATGCTGCCGACTCAACACCGCCGACGAAACTTTAGGACAGCTCATCACCAGTCTACTCAGCACTATGAAAACGACATGCAAACTATGAATTTTTTTCATCAACTTTTTAAAACCGAATAAAAGTAATTTAATAAGGATCGTTTTTAAAACAGAACTTTTTAAAAACGAATAAAAGTAATTTATTAAGGATAATTTTTTGATACATGACTTTATTTTTAAATTAAAAATTTATTAAAATATTATTCAAATAAAAATGACATTTTTTTCATGGTTTAAAATGGTGTGGTAATAGACATAATCTTAAAGTCACTAGGTAAAAATTTATTGTACGAGGGGAAGTCAAAATTTATCTGTTTATTGCCATGACATATCTTTAAGTTTTTCACACTCTTTTCTGCTCCGGCGTGCTCATAGTTCGTACTATTGTGGTCACGTAATCGAAGGTTGTGCTTGATCGCGCCAATTTTCTTGCTGATGCTACTGTGCAAACATTGCCGCTCCGCTTGCAGTGTGCATCAAGTAGAAAAAAGAGCAGTGAGTCGAATCTGTAGAGAACTTGCCACCTGTCAGTGGTAGAGGTTGACGGGCGTCCTGCTCCAGTTCGTTTTAAATTTTTCGATCCACTCATGCATATTTCTACGCGGTAGTTCACTGTCGGCGTATTGTGTTAAAAGACTCCGATAAATTTCGGCCCCTGACACACATTCCAACCAGAGAAATCGGGTCACTGCTCTTTGTTCTTGCTTGGTGCACACTGCTAGCGGATCGGCTATGTTTACTCTGTAACAGCAGCAAGAAAACTTCGATCACGTGACAACAATAGTACCACCTATAAGCACGCATGAGTAGAAGGTCGTGTGACAAACCTAAAAATATTTTATGGTGAAGGTGCGGATAAATTTTGAATTTTTCTCCAGTGGGGTGTGCTTTCTAACAGGATTTGTTTAATTTATGCTTTGCTAATCTTATTGATAAAAACGCCATTGTGGATCTGAAACTAGGACAACATTAAACAATGCAGAACTAATAATTTTGATAACACTGGTTATCCTAAAAGTCACCCAGGGAATTTAAAATATTATAATGTCTACATTTTTTTAAGCATTTCACGCCAAGCAAGGCGGGAGTGCCACAACACGCAAGGGGTTACAGAGAATGAAAGTAAGGGTGTTTGAGGGAAGGATAAAGAGAAGGACGGGGATCAAGGCACTAGAAGATGTCGATTGACATTACATTTAAATTTATCAGGGAAGCAAATAAGAGAAAGAGAGTTCCACTTTCTGGAAATGCAAGAGAAGTTTGTGTAGAATATGAGGCTACATTATTTACATTATTCGGGCTATTGTCCTCATCTTTGTCGCCATATTTATTACAATGTTTCGGCCGTTGTACGCTCCGGCCTTCGTCAGCTGATTGGAATGTCGAACTGAACCCTTTATTCCGCTCACTGGGGTAGACTGTTCTAGTTCCACGTGACATGTTTAATGGATGTCAGTTATCAGTTGTCTCCTGTAAATTTCCCTCTGAAAGTTCTCCACTGTCTTAACCGTCATATTGAACTCACACTCTTTGGGTCCTGTCACTGGATCTAACCAACGCCTTTATCCACTGTGCCATGTGTCCTTGAGGAAAATATTTGTGGAAAAGTCAGAGGGAAACCACATCTGTGAGAAAAGTGACTGGAGTCGAGATGCCAGGTCAGGACCTATCACATTGCATATCCCTCTTTGGATTTTGTCTAGGACCTCAAGATGAACAGCGAGGGCACCAGACCATATATGGCAACAGTATTCCATGCACAGACGAATGGTAGATTTGTAGATGTGAAGGATGGATTCAGACGAGAAAAACCTTCTGGCATGACACGGAGAACCAACTTTACATGCATTTAGCATTCAAAAATAGTTTATACAAATGAAAATTCAAACACTGAACATATAAGGGTATTATATAAATATAAGAGTATTATATAAATATAAAAATATAAGGGTATAAGGGTATGATATAAATTCACTGCATGTCATTTTACCATTTAACTGTATATTAACATAAGGGTATTATATAAATATAAAATATATGGGTCTTATATAAACATAAGCGTATTATATAAATATAAAATACAAGGATATTATATCTGTCTATATCTTTGAGATAAGGTATTGTGGTTACTTGCGTTATTTACATTATTCGGACTGTTATCCTGATTTTCATTGCTATATTCACAACGTTTCGGCCGTTGTATGCTACGGCCTTCTTCAGGTGATTGGAATTTCGAACCGAACCCTTTCTTTCGTTTACCGGAGTAGATTGATCTAGTTCCACGTTCCATACTTCTTCCGGGTGTCTCAGTTATTTCCCTCAAAGAAACCTGGCCCAGTGAATAAAGACGTTGGTTAGATCCAGTGACGAGAGCCAAACAGTTGTGAGTTCAATACCAGGCCTCAGCAGTGGTGAAATAAAACTTGGAGAGTTGAGTTAAAGTTTGACTAAATTTCCTTACTGAACCATATTGCCTAAAATGTTGTATCAACAGACGAATCATGAAATCTGATGGTGGTTGTCTGCTATTGAAGCATCGGCTGTTTTCTCTTTGGGTGTGAATCGAGGATTGCTTAAATGTATAATACAATTACACGATTTTGGTTTTTGTTGGGATTTTTTCCACGGATAATTTTCCCACGTTAATCTAAGTTCCGAAAAAAAAAAAAAAAGAAAGAAAATGAAAAATCTTTCATGTTATACCATTTTTAAATCCGTAGGTGACTTTAGGTGTACTCACTATAGGTATACGCACCATAATATTACAGTATAGATCAAAAGTCAAGTAGTAGTTTTAAATTTTTTTTAGTATTTAAAAACAGTTTTATACAAAAGGAAAATTCAAATACTAGAAATATATTCTCATTCAGTTATAGAAATTACGACGTAAATGTCCTCCATTTTTGACTTAACACAGAAGAGCTACTTTCGATACATTCTCCATTAAATTCGTTAATAACTAGCATTGAATTTCTGCATGGAGGCTATGTATACCCGTTCCTTAAGTATCCCCAAAGAAATAAAAAGTATGAAAGATTTTTCATGTTGTGACATTTTTAAATCCTTAGGTGAACTTTGGGCTACACACTATAAGTGAGTCAGTTACGCGATGTTTGAGAAATCTATAGCGACAATTTTAAGTGTTTGCACATTTTTTTTTTTCTGAATCGGAACAGAAATAATTAATAAAAACTTACCAAACAGTGAAGAAGTCTCTGGCTAGGGTGACTAATATTTATCTTTCTATAATATGCCTTGTGTAAATTTTGAATTTAAGCGCAGTACGAAACTTATCAATTTACAAACTGAGCTGGCTAGATGTAGCCGGAAGTTCTATCCTAACAGTTTCCTTTTCTCTCATGTGGAACTCCCTTCCGACCCCATGCTTTCCAGCCAACTTTAATCCTCAAAAATCTAAATGCAATGACAATCACTATATACTGTCCTTTTTGTATTTCAGTACTAGACTGGTGTCGAGATCTCATCAATTTACAGCTGAGCAGATTGGATCTAGCCGTAAATTCTTTGCTAACAGTTGCTTTTCTCACTTGTGGAACTCTCTTTAATCTGCTAAAAATTTACATCTTACACATCTACAAATCTACTATTCATCCGTGCATTAAATACACCAACAGTGTCTTTTCTTGCACTTCCCGATAGTGGAACTCTCTTCCACTTATTTGCTTCTCAGATAGATACAATCCTCAGGGATTTAAATGCAATGTTGTCTTGAACCCCGTTCATCTTTTATCCTTTTTCCAATCCCCCTACATCCAGTTTTCCTCTCACTTTCACTCTCTGTAACCTCCTGCGTTCGCGTGGCATTGCCGTCTTTCTTGATGTGAATTGCTTAAAAAATATCAATCGCTATCTACTGTCTCCCTGATTACTTTTTTATTCTCGCTCATGTTTCTGTTTTCTAATTCTTCCACACCTAGTAACCAATTGGCTTTTAGTGGATTTACTGCCTTGTATATGGTTATCTCGAGTTATATATATATATATATATATATATATATATAACTATACTCGTCTCGAAGAACCTTCGAATTTTTGATTTGCCAATAATCAAATCAATCTCGAAGGAGAAAAAGGTTTTAAAAAAAAGAAACAGCTAGAAACATGAAAGTCTGTCGAAAAAAATCGCACAGATACAGGTTCAAAGCCCGAAGAAAAAAAACCCGACACGAGTAAACAACTAACTAAAAAGAGCTCAATACAACCGTAGAGCAGGCCTAGATAAACCTAGTGAGCCAGACAAACCTACCCAGGTTTCACCTATGTGGATCGTCAAGGAAAGCTGACGACCCGCTTAGGTGAAATCTGGGTAGGTTTGTCTGGCTCACAAGGTTTGACTATAAATAAATATATATATATATATATATATATATATATATATATATATACACAACACACAAGTACGCAATAAAAGTGTATTTTGTTTAAGCCGCTATATCTAATTATAAATGATTAAAAAAAATGTTAGGAATCTTTAAACAAAATTTGAAACTATTTTTTTAAAGAACTGGTATATTTTATTTCAATTTATGCTTAGATAATGGATAGCTATTTTCGGTGGAACCAGTATTTATTATTAGAAATTAATTATTTTTTGCATATCTCTCTGTTCAGGTAACCCTCCTTCCTCGGAAAAGCCAGATGGAGAATATCCAACAGTTATCAAGCAAGATGATGGAGAAATATGCTTAGTGGTTCAAGCATACGCCTACGGCAAATATCTTGGTTTTTTACAAGTCACTTTTGACCCTGATGGACGGCTGCGTTCCTGGAACGGGAACCCTATTTTATTGGATAAAACTGTTATACCAGGTGAGAACTTGACATTATAAAAAAAATGTCTTTCTTCAATTATGTAAAATATCTATTTGAAAGGCTGGGACCGAGGGCCGCCGGTTATAGACCTTAAAGGGGCCCATAATAGAATTTCGGATTTCCTTCATTACGTATTTTCATACCCATGTCTCTCTCTCTTTCCCTCTTTCTCTCTCTCTCTCTCTCTCTCTATATATATATATATATATATATATATATATATATATATGACATGTATACAGTAACGAGACATTTCCGCCACACTTCCAATGTTTAAATTTCAACATTTCAACATACAAATGCGTATGTATAGATATAACACCACCCGTATACATGCATATGTCATAGCCGAAACTGCCCACATATGTTTATATATGTATGAGTCCCGACGGACGGCCAAGTATGTATATGTGTCTGCATACATCGATGTTTGCGTTAATACGATGAATGACAAAACGACGAAATTTCCCCCACCAATTCCACAATAACACCAATACACGCAATCTACGTAAACCCAAATTTTTTAAAACATTAATCAGTTTGTCTGACGATCGCTAAAGCGTGAAACCCAGGGTCACAAACTCACATCTATCCAACCAAATATGTTAGCTCTATCTCTGATATTGAGCGCTTTCTAATAAGTACCGCGCATATAATATATAAATAATTATACATACTTATTAATATTTATATACACTTTTCACATTGTTTAAAAAAAAACCCAAATCGAGTAAAAAAGCCAGCTTTAACCTGAAGATCCGTTTAGGTATATATATATATATATATATATATATATATATATATATATATATATATATATATATATCCCAAGCCATAGACACTGTATGTATATATATATATATATATATATATATATATATATATATATATATATATATATATATATATATATCCGAATGTAATGAGAACGAAAATAATATATAAATTCTAACGTTCACAGCATGAATTCGAAAGAAGGCTCAATAACGGTAGTACAGCAATAATTATACATATATATATATATATATATATATATATATATATATATATATATATAATGGACACTCCAGTCGGTTTTGACGTATGAGGATCTGACAGATTGATTCAGTTATGAAATTTTGTGCGATAATCTTAAGTGGCACTCACTTAAGACCCGCTAGTGATTTACAAAGAAGGCCACATATGGAGCAAGAGTAAGGATTGTGAGATGAGATCACTGTTAGATGGACTGAGCTTTTAGATCTTGCTCTCGCTTCTTGAAGACTATTCAGACAAGCAGATTAAAAACTGCTGAGTCCACTAAAACACGTTGATCTCCATTCTACCCATTCCAAGACTAAGCGCTCCAGAGTGTTACGTGGTATATTGACAGCTGACAAGTTCCTTTTCGTATTGTCTTTGTATCTTTGTGTCTTTGTAAATTTCCCGGCTTGACGCATATTTTCTATGAAATTTTTCGGACATTCAGGCCGGTAAATGTCATTAATACTGTTTATTATAAACAGAGCATTTACTTAAATATTTGTGTCTATAAAAAAAACGTATAAACATAAAAAAATGTATTAATATATATATATATATATATATATATATATATATATATATATCCTATTCCAAGTTATATTATATTTCACAAAATGCCGCAATGTGCACACAAAAATCAAATATATATGACAGTTAAGACATAAAACAATTCGATAGTTAAGGCATTACTATCAAATTTATGGACACGCAGGGCCTATAAGGTGGCTGTATCTTAGCAGATACTCACTCCAAACATATATCATGATTTCCGCCATTTTGATTTGAATATCCGTTGTTGAAATGATGGAGGTAGGCCAGCATTCGTATCTGGAACTAAACTCTAAAATGGGGAAGGACTTTTAGGGTTTATTTATTTATCCTACATGTCACTGTGCAATGTACAATGAAATCGGGCAGCAGTCCCCATGTATACCCATACATATAAAAACACTCCATCGAATGAAAAATAATAATATTCAAAATATCTTGAAAATATAACATCATTTTCTAACAATCTTTTGCCAAGGCTTGTCACAATTCGACCACAATGTCTCTACTCTCTTCTCAAGTAATATTTATCAATTCATTGGGGAACAAAATGGCATGTTTTACTACACTTTTTTGAATGGCAGTCATTTGAGTTGACGAAAAGATATAAAACTTCATTGTTTAGATATGTGAAACGATTCATTGTTTGAGAAATAGCGACTGATATTTCCGTCATAATCTTCTCATGTAATCTGTGCGCTACATATTTTCCCACAGTGAAATTCAGACATCTTTTATTGTCTGAAAACCAAAATAATACATTAATTTAGAATGTTTGTTTTTTTCTTGAACAATTAGTTTTACCACAAATTAATTACAAGAAGCCATCTAGACACATTTCCTTTCCACTCAAATCGACGAAATTTAGTTCATATCCAAGCCTCGTTTTGATCTCGATACTTAGAAAAATCAGCTTTAGTCTGGCAAAACGCATTCATAGGTTTGGTTTGCTTTGCGTTGTTTTGTTTTACAGCATATTAACCTCAATGTCAACTGAACCCTTTATTTCGCTCACTGGGGTAGACTGTTCTAGCTCCACGTGCCATGTTTAATGGATGTCAGTTATCAATTATCCCCTGTTAATTTCCCTCTGAAAGTTCTCCACTGCCTTAACCAGGTATTGAACTCACACTCTTTGGGTCCTGTCACTGGATCTAACCAACGCCTTTATCCACTGTGTCTGCTATCAGTACTATGTCTCATGCTGCTAATATTGGGGCCACCATTAATGAATCCTGGTTGGATTTTTAATTCTCTCAGAATAGCTTCATTGTATAGCTTGAGTCCGGTGGGAAGACACATCCTTGTCTTACACCCTTTTCTATTTTTGTATATATGCTGAACGCATTTTCTATCCGTATGCAGGCGGTTTGCGGCCAGTATAGATTCTTGATTATTCTAATATCCTTCCCAAATATGTAAAAGTTGCTAATCAGATCCTAGTAGTCATAAAACGTTATTTAGCTATTCTCATAGAATGTATGGTTGTCAGCAAAAGAGACACCCGAAAGTGTATTGGGGGCGTCAATTTTGACATATTTCGTATTAGTATATACTCACCAGTCTTGTTCACTGTGGTGTCGCTTTCCCTTTCTGGATCAGAGTCTGTAACATTTCAGCACTACCAGAGCCCGATGGCAGTTATGAGTTCAATCCCATTGTTTGGTAGAGCTAAAAAGGCAATACTCTTGTTCAATACAAGAAACAGACAACACAAATAGGAAAACGACTGATTGGTATCAACTTGGAGGGAACATCTAAACATAGAAAATCGAATAATACCAGCATGTTGTCGTTATTTTTTTTTAATTAGTTCACCCCATGCAAAGCGACAATGTCACTATGATACAAATGGCTACTGGGGCTGAAAGCGAATAAAAAGACTTTAAAAGGAACCGGAAACCTGTCCTAAACAGGGAATAAGGGGCAAACCTCTATTCCTGTTCAAAAGACCAGCGACAAGTATGAACCAGACAATATGATTAATTGATTCGTTTTTTAGGGCTTATCTATTCTTTTCAGGTTATTTAAGGCCAGAAAATATATTTAGAGTGTAAATTTTTTTTTTTTTTAGATAATAATAGTTTAATAATATAAGTCTTAATAATTAATCCATAGCTGGGGAGAAAGGAGAATTCATACAGTCATATGGTATTTGCGCGTATATGAATACAACGAACCCAACGGGAATTAGAACTTGGCTCTCCGATTAACAATTCCGAGCCATTATTCATTACATCACATCCAAGCCTTAGGCACCTAGTATTCCCAACCGGTCACGTATCTAGGTACTGACCAGAACTGTATGATAGTCGATGCTGTTGGTAGTTGCGAGTTCAATCCCGGGATCTGGTAGTGCTGAAATGTCACATACACTGGTTCAGTGGAAGACACGGATAAGCTACACAAAGACTGATGACTGTTAACTGACACAAAAATATCCCATAAGCATGAAATATGAAACAAGAAGAATGAATAAAGACAAAAAAAAAACTTATCTCAACCGACGCGTTTCGTCCTTTGGGAGACTTTATCAAGGCAAACGTAAGGATTTTATTTTGCGACAAGCATTTACATACAAGAGCAAAAATGTCATAGGTTTTCAAAATGTTTAAACCTCATGAATATTCATAAGGTTAACAAAAAATCAGGCAAGTTCATGGACATGACGTTGTGCAATTCAAATTCTAATAAATATATATATATATTTGTGTGTGTGTGTGGTATATATATATATATATATATATATATATATATATATATATATATATATATATATATATATATAGTAGGTTGGTTGAAATAGCTCTTCGAATGAGGTAAATTTGGATTTACATTCTATCTAATTTATATGCTATGTTATAATAAATACAATGTGTTCTTTTTTGTAGATCAGTTTTAATATTATAAATTATTAGGATTCCTTTGGATTATATACCAGCGGATTATTACGTACACACACACGCACACACACACACACACGCACACACACACACACACATATATATATATATATTATGCAATTTAGTATTTAAATTATTTTGGATTGGGATTGAATCATATGATTTTGAATAAATACGTCGACTAAGATAAGTTTTCCTTTTGTTTTTAATCATATTGTCCTTTTACAGATAGCCCTTTATCGGAATTTTTTACATAATAAGAATAACCTATTTCCTTAGATGGAATAAAGGCTTCTGCTGAAAATTCAAAGACGTTCCCAAATATGAAGATAGAAACTTGTAGATGGTCGGAGAGTACAACGGCCGAAAGGTTGTGTTTATAATAACCAAGCCGATTCAAATATCAAGGCATCGCCGAGAAACCTTTTTTAAACTTTGTATTTGCATAAAAATATATCGACTCTGTGTTGGAAATAACTGATTATTCTCAAAGCGAGACTGTATTATTGTTTGTTTGTTTCAGATCCTGCTATTTTGGCGAAAATGAAACCATTCCAACGTCAACTAACTAAATTAGTCAACAAGGTTATTGGAGAGACAAGTGTGTTACTTAATGGCGACAGTCAATGTCGGCTGGAAGAATGCAATTTAGGTAATTATAAATTTATTCAGTATCGTTTTTATTCTTATAACAGCAAAATAAGATCGAGATTACTTACAGATTTCTCTCTAAGACAAGGGTCGGCAACGTACGGCCCGCGGTCCGGATCCGGCCCGCGAAGGCATTTTGACCGGCCCGCGAGCCTGATTACAAATGACTCTATTTTTAACATGAGAGACGAAGCTTTCGAATTAGACTATCTGCCAGTTATCTTTCATGAGACTTATTTTACCAAGTTGCGTTGCCTACGTTTAATGTCAAATAATGGATACATATTTGTTATGACCCTTGGCTACATTAAAAGATAACAGAAGCGAAAGGAACGATAAAGTGAAAGAGGCCAGGGAGGGACTGACATGCGAGGTAGCAGAAATCTAAAGACAGTTAAACATACGCGCATTATACCTACATGACTCATGAATGTGTGGATGATACCGCATGTATACGTAGGTAAGTGTATGTTTGCAACTATTTGTACTCGTATGTATGGATATATGTGCTTCGTTTTTGTTTGATGTGTGTGTGTGTGTGTGTGTGTGTGTGTGTGTGTGTGTGTGTGTGTGTGTGTGTGTGTGTGTGTGTAGTCCGTTTGTGGAACAATTTTCAATAACAGTTTCAAACCTACACGTCATAATTTCATCCATTTCACTTCAGTTGATTTTTTCATTTTGAAGTATTTTGACGTTCCTTGAGGAAAAGTAATTTTTGTTAGGTGTCTTTTAATTTTAGATTTTCTTTTGTTTTTCTGATTTCTCAATGTTTATTTTCATTATGGTTTTAAATATTTAGGTTGACAGGGGTCTGCATATGTAATTTTCCTTAATTTTTCATTAATGGCCTTCGTCCGGCCGCGACCCGTCATTATAACACGATCCGGCCCGCGGGGTCGAATGAGTTGCCGACCCCTGCTATAAGATCTCTTAGAATCTGCAATGCCGAATACCTAGAAAATTATATTAAAGCAAAGTGATAATGCCGTTAGAACGCAGAGAAGTGAAAGTGAAAGTGAAAGAGAACGAGAAGACTAAGAATGGGGAGGATTGAGGAAAAGAGAAAAAGTAACAGAGTTTCAGAAAACGGAAGATGGCGTTTGACGTTGCACTTAGATTTTTAAACATTGTAGTTACTAGGGAAGCAAGAAATCGGAAAGGAGTACCACAAGTAGGATTGAAGAAAGGGCAAAAGATGAAAGGGTCCAAGAAAACAGAAGATGGTTATTGACGCTGCACTTAAATCTTTGAAGATTGTAGTTACCAGGGAAGCAAGAAATCAGAAAGGATTTACATGGGTAGGAAGTGCGAGAAAACAAACTGTTAGACTAGAAGTGGCGGCTGCATCTAGTATATACACTCAGTAGCAAAAGTGTAAGTTATACTAACTCATTATTTATCCACTGAACTCGATAAACATATCTCTATCTATAAAAGGCTGGATGTGTGTGTGTGTGTGTGTGTGTGTGTGTGTGTGTGTGTGTGTGTGTGTGTGTGTGTGTGTGTGTGTGTGTGTAACGAATGCACGGCCGCAATTTTCGACGGATTTGCACCAAAATTTACATGCACATGCTCCAAGTTAGTGGGAAGGCCAAGACCGACTTTGCATTTCAAACTCCCATCGGTAGTGGAAATAATCGATTTTTTCATGCTTCTACGGCAGTTTTCATGTAGTTTGCGGCCATTTTCTACTGGCCAGAGTGAGAGTCAATAGCTGGCTGCCACGAATAGGCAGGGAGATTCTATTGGCCAGCGTGAGAGCCAACAGCTGACTGACACGAATGTTAACTAGCATGCTAGCATGCAAAAAAAAAATCGATAACCGCATTCGTCACAAGTGGGAAAAATGTAAATCTGCATGGCACTTTACTCCAATTGGCTCATTCGCTTGCTTAAACTCAACGTTGATTCTGTTTCCACAGAACTTGGTTGGGTGTGAAAAAGTATTTGTTGTTAACATTCTTTTTTCATTCGGTTATACCAGTTACGAGTCCTTTTTTTAAAGCTGATCGTTTTTTTGTTCATTTTGTTTAGTTCTTTTTTTGTAACAGATTTAATGTTTAGTATAGAGCTTCGAAAAAATTCGCAGTGTGAGATAGGCAAGAAGTAAGGCATGTAGCAACATCAGCACGGCAAGGGCACTCCTTTAAAGGCAAGGAAGGGCAAAAATATTCTAAGTCAAGTGATAGCGATTGCTGTATGAGCCGTACGATTTTTGAATCAAGCACGGGCAACGCCGGGCCATGCTGCTAGTAAATACTAAATACTAAAATACTAAAACAATAATCACTAGCTCTACGATAAATGAAAGATTTGATCAGCAAAAACATCTTCAAAGATTTAAATGCAATGTTAATTGTTATCATTTTTATTCTTAATTCCTGTTCATTTATTGTTCTCTTCCCATAATAATGTTTTTTTTTCTCGGATTCTTTCACCCTCAGTAATCCATTGTATCTTAGTGGCTTTATTGCCTTCCTTGAGGTTAAATGTCTCGGGTCAATCGTTATCTATCCTCCTTATCCCCATAATTTTCACTTCCTAATTTCTCCATTTACGTTCCTCTCACCGATCTCATTCAGTAACCCTCTACCTTGAAAGGCCGTTAAGCCTTTTATTGATGAACATAAGCAATAAAAAAAATTGTACAGCAGTTATTTAAAAAAATATACACCAGTTATTACGATAAAATCATGGTGTACTGTGTTTGTGTCTGGAATATAACCAGATAATGCTTGTCTTCGTTTTTGGGTGGCGATTGTATCTAGACAAGCAAAGACTAATTAAAACTGACAGGCGACAGATAATGAAAGCCTATCTATCAGCCTTGGCAGATGGAAGAAAGCGTATATTTATGAATAGTTTATATGTTTATGCCTCATAAACCAAATGAACGATAAAGAGTCTAGACGGAGAGTCATCAAGGAACCTGTCAGTTTATCCCTACCTGAAGGTAGTTCACACACACACACACATACATATACGAGGTGTGACAATTCAATTCCTGGAATGGTTTGTGAAATTCCTTGTTTGTGCGTGTGTAAATATTCTGAAATAGAGTCTGTCTGTAGAAGAGACAAAATGAATGAAAAGACGAGTGGAAGACTATACTTAGTTTAGCCGACGCGTTTCGTCATTCAACGGCATATGTGATGGTTTTATTTTGCAACAAGTATATATTTTACAGTTATACAAAATTTACGAATTTAAGGATGCTCATAAATATTCAGCAAGTTAACTAAAAAGATTTAGGTGTTAGAACATAGATTTCGTCATATCGCATCTTTGAAAGGAATTTTTTTTATTTAAAGACGTTCATAACAGGTTAACTGAAATGTCTAGGCATTTAGACCTTAGAATACGTCATTTAGTATATAAAAAAAAAAAAAAAAACAGAAAGAAAAAGAAAATACAAAAAGAAAAAAAAATATTTCTCGTACTGAAATATGAGATGGACGTTCCTATCATACATCTCCAAAAGTTGAAATGATGGATTCAGCTGTTTCCCTGATTTTTCAACCCATTTGTTGTGTATGTTGAGTTGGGAAATTATTAATTCCTTCACGAAAGTTGAGATTGGGGAAAGAAAAACAAGGTGTGGATTAATATTTTCATAATATTCGATGGCGGCACTTTTGAGTGTATTATTTTTTTAGATCAAAATTGTGGTCGAATTTATTTTTATGTATGAATATTACATTTGCTAAATTGTTATATATAAGGTCTCGTTTGTGTTCATAGACACGTGTTTTTTTTTTTTAAATTACTGCTTGTTTTCCCAATGTATTGTGAAGAACAGTCTAGGCAATTTATTTTATATAGGCTTGGCCCGAACTATTACCGATATGTGTGTTTTTAGATCTGATCATATCAATGATAGTTTAGGAATTGGTTGTAATTATTTCGTTGTTGTTTAGATGGGATACAGTATTTTACATGGCATATGTTATAGAACTGGTAGATAGTATTATATATCTATTTCTGTTTAATTTATTATTGTGGATAATATTTTTGTTGCGGTCTTATATTTTTGTGCCTTTCTCTTTGCTCTTTCGATAAAATGATAGGGATATTGGAGGTTTTTGAATGTGTTTTCTGTGTGTTCCTTCTTTAGGTAGGTATCTGGGGCTGCAAATCCATAGTGCTCTTAAGCATAAACCTATAATTATACCAGATTTAATTTTATAATAGTGGTTTGAGTAGAAGTTGACTAGGTCGTTTTTGTTCGTAGATTTTCTGTAAACGACAAAAGTGAGTGCGCTATTGTTTCTGTGTAACATGATATCTAGGAAGGGAAGAATGCGGTTGGTTTCAGGTTCAAACGTGAAGTCTGTTGCAGGTTCAACGTTGTTAAGTTTGCTGACAAGATCTTTTAAAATAGTGTTTTGTGTAGATATTAGTAGAAGTTGATTATGTATCTGAAATAGGAAGAGTTTGATGGTAGAATTTTTTTGAAAGGGCTATTTTCTAGAAACTCAAAAATAGGCAAGCGATAATGCCACTAAGAGGAGATCCCATTGTTAAGCTAAGTTTTAGTCTATAGAAGTTATTACCGAAAGTGAGGAAACATTGTTTGGTAATTAGTTGGCATATTTTTATAATTTTATGTGTGGTGTTTTTGTTAAGTTTGCATTTAGTAGACGTGGGCATTTTTCCATAAGGACGTTAGTGTATGAATATTTTTATGCCAAAACTGGCCATATATTTATTTTTTATGTCTACGTTTTTAGTTTGTTTAGGAGGTCAGCTGAGTTTTTATGTGTGATAGACTGACTGCGTCCAGGAGTGGGGTTAGGATTTTGCTTAATGTGCCGCCTATCCCTGATATGATAAGTGTCATTGGTATGTCTGGTTTGTGTTTTTTGTGGTAGTCCGTATAGTGTAGGTGTTTTTGGGTAGTGTTCAATAAGAGGTGTCTTCATTTTTAGTAAGTTTTTTCTTCTTTTTTCTTTTTCTTTCTTTTTTACTTTTTCGGATATACTAAATAAGCTCTAAATTCCT